TGATGCCCTCAGAAAAAATTTTTTATATCAGAAAAATTTTATCAGCTATCAATAGCCGATTAACTGTTTAGGGGATAATAAGCAGACATAAAGTTTTTGGATAATTTAATTATTGTTCATTTTATTGATATTAGAAAATATAAAATTTTTTTACCAGTGATATATCAAATATTCTAGTTGATATTACTACAACAATACTACTATTATTAACAATAAAGAGTATGTATATATAACATTGCATTAATTAAAAAATGGATCTATACAATCAGAAAGAATGTTACATACTATTATTATTATTATTATTTGATATTAATAAAACAACAAATAAACAAAGATAATAAATAAATAGTTTTTATTGCTTTCTCTAAATGAAATAATTAATTTTATTACAAATATTGTGTTTTCCTACCCATAATCCCAAGCTGGCTTTAAAGTTGTGTTTGGCTATCAAAAGTTGAAATTTTTTAATAATCTTCAAACCCAATCAAAATTAGATTTTGTGATAATTTGGAATAAGATCGACAAAAATTTGGCCAATGAAATATAGTTGTTTTTGTGATCTGCAACAGTGTCTACTATGTTTCGTGGAACACGAATTAAAGTTGTTAAGTACTTAATAACTTTTACGCCCAATTTTTCCCAGATTCGATCTCCATATTTGGAAATCTCCCTGACTGTATAATATAGTAATAGTGGTTCGGTCGACTTGAGCTATACACAATTCCGTGATTTCTGCGGCATTCTGCGCGCTATCAGAAAATCATTGTCCCTGTTTTCAGGGTAAAATGGCTTTGACGATCAAGTTATTTTAACCAAATTTATTCATTAAAGGATAAACGGACCCACCTAATAGATAAGAATTAAGTATTTAGCAAATAAAAGGTCTTTAATTTATCGAAAGTCCTTTAACTTTTGAACTGGTTAACTGACTGCATAGTAATATTAATATTAGTATTAACATTAAAATTCTTTTTCTATCGAGACCCTAAATGTGATACAATCTTTGGCAATAAATAAAAATATACGTAAATATCATTTTCATTTTGAAAGAAAAATACACATTAATATTTCTAAATCTATTATTTTATTTATTTATTTCTTATAAATATAGTATTTTTAAATTTATTATCTTTATCACTTTTTTGTTTTCACTCCATATTTACATCTCTTTTTTTCGCGCCTTTTAAATTTAGTGAATTTATTAATTTTTTAACAATCATATTTAATAAATCGTTCATTACGCCACCTCAATTACCTTTAGATTTCTTAATTTATTGTTAATCATTAGAGGGAGAGCTATAATTATAGCTAGAAGATTGAAATTATTTGCTTGGACAACAATATCAAAGAAAGCGATTAAAGAAAAAATACAATATACTGGAAATAAATTTTTTATATCAATATAAGAAAGAAAAGGAAAAAAAGAATGGAGTTAGGAACAATTGAAAATTTAAAACCAAAACCTGAAGCAATTAAAACAATAACAACGTCACAACAGTCAATTAATAACGCAATAATTAACAACAACAATATTGCTACTAGTAACAGCAATAACAACATTAATAACGATAATAATTCAAGAAAAAGATCAAAATCAATTTCTCATTCAACTATTTCATCTTCAAATTTTCATCATCAATCAATAAAACTACAAACAACAACCAATAATATTTCGTCGTCAATGAATATTGAAGATGATTCAAATTCATTGATTGTAAGTGATATTCAAAATTGGGAAACTACTTTAGAAAAAGCCATCAAAGCAATTGTTAGCATTAAAGCAAATCATGTTAGAAGTTTTGATACTGAGTCATCAGGTAAATCTTTTTAATAGATATTTATTTATTATATTTATTGTTGATTTATTAATTTATTTTTTAAATTTTAAATTTTAGGTGATTATTCAGCTACAGGGTTTGTAGTTGACATAGAGAAAGGTTTAATTTTATCAAACAGACATGTTGTATCACCAGCACCAATTGTAGCTCAAGCAATATTTACCAATTATGAGGAAGTAGAGCTAAAACCTATTTATAGGGATCCTGTTCATGATTTTGGTTTTTTGAAGTTCGATCCATCAAAGATTAAATTTATGGATTTGGTACAGATTCCTCTTAGTCCTGAAAAGGCCAAAGTTGGTTTAGAAATTAGAGTTGTTGGTAATGATGCTGGTGAAAAATTGTCTATATTATCTGGTACATTGGCAAGATTAGATAGAAGGTAAATATATAATATATACTGTCAAACCTCGATAAGCCGAACCAATTTTCGCTTTATAACAATGTAAAAGTGGTTAACCAAAGACACAATTAACTATAATTGTAAATTATCATAAACCGAATTTTGATAAGCCGATCCCATTTTTGTTATTCCCAAAAGTTCGGCTTATCAAGATTCGACTGTATAATAAAGAATAAACAGACACAATAACTCATTTATGTATTGTATTTTTAGAGCACCAGAATATGGAGTGGGAGAATATAATGATTTTAATACATTTTATTTACAAGCGGCATCGGGTACAAGCGGAGGTTCATCAGGTAGTCCCGTGTTAGATATAGATGGGAATGCAGTAGCTTTAAATTCTGGTAGTGCAAGTAGAGCGGCATCAAGCTTCTATTTACCATTGGATCGAGTCAAGAGAGCATTACATTTCCTACAAGAAGGAAAATCTGTACCACGTGGAACTATACAAACAGAATTTGAACATATGCCATATGATGAGTTACGTCATTTAGGCCTTGATCCTAGCATAGAAGAAAATGTGCGTGAAATGTTTCCTGATGAGACTGGATTACTTGTGGTACGATCAGTTTTACCTAAAGGTCCATCGGATGGTATATTGATACCAGGTGATATTGTGATATCTACTAACCATTCAACTGTTACAAACTTTTTGGATTTGTTTTCATTGATTGATGATTTTATTGGAAAAACAATATCACTTTCAATATGTCGCAATAAAGTGATAGAGGATGTTACAGTTCTGGTACAAGATTTACACTCGATAACTCCCAATAGATTTGTAGAGATTGGTGGAGGAGTTGTCAACGAGTTAAGTTATCAATTGGCACATTCTTATTCACAACCTGTTGGTGGTCCATTTATAGCAGCAAGTGGACATATGTTTGGTGGTGCATCTGCTTTTCGTGAGAGTGTGATTGTTAGTGTTAATAATATTTTAACACCAAATTTAGATGAATTTATTGAAGTGATGAAGACTTTACCAGATGGTGCAAGAGTTCCCATAAGGTTTTATTCTTTATCAAAAATTCATAAAGAATATGTTACTATTATGCATGTTGATAGACACTGGCATAAGTTTCAAGTCGCTGTTCGTGATGGTAATTGTTAATTGTTAATTGTTAATTGTTTGTATAATTATTAATTATTTGGATTAAATATTAAATATTATTGTTATAAAGATATAACAGGGCTATGGAATTATACAGAAATGTCACCGCCACCAGCAATTCATTCATATGAACCAGTGACAGGGTCTTATCAGACATTACATTCTTCATTAGGACCAGCTAATAAATTATGGTCATCATTTGTATTAATAGAATTTCGTTTACCATATCTTGTTAATGGGATGGTTAGGAAACAAGTAAGCATTTATGTTTATATCATTAGTTTATATTTAAACATTTAAGCATTTATCTAATATATAATATTTATTGATTATAGTTTTATGGTGCTGGAATAATTTTTTCAACTGATCCACCAATAATAGTATGTGATCGAGATACCATACCAATAAGTGTTGGCGATGTATTTATAACATTTGGTAATAGTGTGATAATACCTGGTAAAATCTTGTATTTGCATCCGTTATATAATTATGCAATATTAACCTATGATGCTAAATTGTTGGGAGAGACACCAGTAAAAGCCATAGAGATTTATGAAGGACGAGAGTTAGATCAAGGCGATGAAGTTTATTTGATTAGTGTGGCAGGTGATTCATCGCCTGTTATGAAAAAAACATACGTAAATCATATTGGAGATGTTGATACAAGAGAATGCAATCCGCCAAGATGGAGAGCTATGAACGTTGAAGGAATAACCGTTGATGATGCTATTGGAACACAAGGTAAAAATATTTAATATTATGTGCATAAATTGGTTTTTTATTTGTTTAATAAATTTAATAATGAATATAAATTATTGATAGGAGGAGTATTATGCAATGAAGAAGGAAAAGTACAAGCATTATGGTTAAAATATTCATCACAGAATGAAAATGAAAAGGATTACATCTTTTTTTGTGGATTACCAATATCATTGGTTAAACCTACCGTTGAATTAATCAAGAAAGGAGAGCATCCGGAATTGAGAGGATTGAATGTAGAATTTTGGACCAGAAGAATATCTACAGCAAGAGCTTATGGATTACCAAATGATTGGATTAAAAAAATAGAATCAGCGCCCAATTCCAAGCATACAATGCTATATGTTTTAAATATTTTAGATTTTACTAGTCCAGCTGGTAAATTATTAAAAGTTGGAGATATTGTATTGAAGATGAATAGAAATCTTGTTACTAGGATGGCAGATTTACCTAAAGCGTATAATGAAGCAGAAGAAGTTGACATGGTAAATTTCAATATCTGAATTAATCAAGTCTAAAAGAAATTATTGAGATTATTTTTTAAAATTAATGTATCATTTTATATTTAGCTTGTTTTTAGAGATGGAAAAGAGATAAATGTTAATGTGGCAACCACGCCATATGACAAAAAGGAGACAACGAGGATTTTATGTTGGTCTGGGGCATTAATACAGATGGCATATAAAGCGGTATTAGAACAAGTACGTAAGCCACCAATAGGAGTTTATGTAGCATGTACATTGTTCGGATCACCTGCATCAATCACATTTCATCCAGGGATATGGATAGTTGAAGTACAAGGTAAAAAGGTGAATGATTTGGATTCGTTTTTGAAAGCAGTTAAACAACATGAAGTAGAGATGAAGGAGAATGAAGGGGATGGGTATATTAGAATAAAAACTATTGATAGACGAGATGTTACTCATGTGGTAACAATGAAACTAGTACCTCACTATTGGAACACATGGCAATTGATAAAAGATGACTCAGCCCAGACTGGCTGGAAATGTGTACCTGCTTAACAACGAGAAGGAGAGTAAAGTTAATAGATTAATTGATTTACTATTATTATTATTATTTTAAAATCAATTTTTTAATAGATTATTTTATTTTATTTTATTTATTTATTTACCTTTTTATTATTTTATCTTGATTTATTTTTATCTTTATTTATTTTTTTTATTTTATTTTTATTAAATGAATTTTATAGAGATTTATTATTCAAGTATTTAAATGATAGATCGCACAACAATTAGAGATTTTATATATATGAAAAATAGGGGCTAATTTACATAATAAATATAAGATATTTTGTCACACAAGGAAATCAAGTTGCTTGTTGATTGTTCATGACTCACTTATCGGCTACAGTGCGGATCATCTATACTCAAAAGTTAAATTTTTTGAAATATTATGTGATCCACACATTGGATTTTAAAAAATCCACCACCATTCAATTCAGCTTTAAAAAGTGAGTCTATTAATCTAAAAAAAAATTTGTCTCAAATTTTCTTTTTCATATATAAATTTTTTAAATTTGCAAGTTATGCTCAAAAGCGCAACAATAATTTTCGTGTTACAATATTTTGAATCTCACGACCAAATTTGGTAATGATTTTCTTTT